TCAACTATCCATTTGCCCGTAAAAAGCTTTTGTCATGAACAAGGGTGCTTGCGCTTGTGGAACAAACGCAATATTAGGCATTACGTTTCGCTGATGGTTTCCTTAGGCGAGCGCCATTCGTCGGAATGCCGCCAGCTCGTGAGCCTGAAGATTGTTGCCTTTTCGCAGTTGACGGTCTTTTCGCGGCCTCATCAAGCAACTCGAGCAAATCTTCGCCTTTTGATAGTTTCTTCACTGGTTTATCATCCTCGATGCTCAGCTGTAATGAGTGTTTCGTTTGTTTACTATAAACAAATCTTCGGTTTGTGTCTGTCAAGAAATCCTCTTATTGACAGAAGCAATAACCCAAAATCATAGGTTATAAGTTATGTTGGATGGGATTTGTCCATTCAGGTAAACATAATCGTTAAGAGGAATGCATTCAGAAGTCATTATAGAGAGTGCTGAGGATGAACTGCCAGCCATATATATCTTTGCATTGTGCACTGAACACACTGGGGTGCCATCATGTGCCTTATCTGGCTCTTTTATTCACATAATGAACCATCTACTAATACCTTATAAGAACCTAATGGCGCGTCCTTGAAGTAAAGACTACGATGCATTCATTCTCTATCATCCTCCAAACGAGCACTTACTCACGGTTCCTTGACCAATAATCATAAACTAAAGTGTGAACTCTCTTTATCAAGATATGCGTTAAAACGACTCCATTAAGGGATATCAAATTTAGTCGTACAAAGGATCGAAACTTCTTCGTTCTGATTTGGGATTGATTGTTTTTTACGATAGAAACTATGCAATAGTATATGTGAGATGTCGCTATAGAAAGAATCTAATTGTAAGTGGATTCTAAAAATTTCAGCTGAAATGACTGAATTTTTTACTTACTTTGCATTAATGATTTTACTTTTTACTTAAATGACCCCTGCATTCATTTTATCAGTAACAGCAGCAAATGACTTAAAATGACTCTGTTTCACCCATTTCATATTTTTGGATCAGCAGATGAGTGATATCTATCAAACAATATTTCGATAAGCTTGCACAGATGTTCAACTAAAACACCGCACGTGAAAGTATATCGCATTGATCTATTTATTCTGGTTCACCACTTTTTGTGATCATTTTCTGGTGACTTTATAATGGTCTTTGAAATGGTTTATTCGTCGAATTATGGTACAAAACTGAATGGAAGAATTAAATGCACTGGAGTTTTTTTTTAATTGCTAAAGAGCAACTGGACAATGGAGTTGATACGAAGAAATTTGTGATGAATTCATGGACATTCTAGGAGATGATCGATGAAGAATACGTGCTATTTGATTCACTAAAGGAATTGTCATT